GCGAAACACTGAATGCAGAATGCAGAACGCAGAACGCCGACAACCCGGCAACTGATGAGGATCGTGAGGAGAACGAAACCATGGTCTTGCCTGATCACAAACAGTGGCAATAACAAAACAGTTTAAAGACTGTTAAGCTTATTCAAAGCTATTACCAAGGGAGGAACTACGTGCTCCAGTCAAAAGACTCACACTGTCTTTAGAAAAACACTAAGCTGGAGTTTACTGAGTCACAATTCGATTCTCCATAGTAAGTTTATGTAGCACTAAAATCACATTTGCTCAGTATAAATGCAGAACCTTCCAGAGCATAATCTACCCAGCAGATAAAAACAACTTTATTGGAACAAGTGATGATGGACTTTCCACCGTAGAAGTTGAAGATGTCAATATCGACTTACCTACTGACACCTTGACTTTGCTTAGGCAAAATATTGATCCGTTGCAACATTCTGATTCCTTTGGGATTGATCTGTTTCAGAATGGTTTATTGGTACTAATGCAGGCTGGAGAGTAGAATAGGATATCTCAAGGGTGATAAGGGCTGACTATTTGACTTTTAAGTGGGGACCAGTTGGATTTTCTGGTATTTGGCTTGACCAAGAATAGACCATTAAGCGTAATTGTATGTTTTGACTTCCCAGTGTAGGTCATATGATGTTCCCAAGGGAATTCTACCAAATTTATGAATTAACATTAATTCAAGTGAAAATTTTTAAACCTAGGTTGATTCTAAATTTCATTTTTCTCCGAGCCCTAATTATATGTGGATTAGGGCTGGGAGACAAAGGAAACTGAGAATTAACCTAGGTGAAAAAATTTTAAGCTGAATATTTAATGTTAATTTTGACCTTTAACATATTTGTTAATTGAACTGAATTGGGAAAACAAAAGATAAAAGCTAAAGGTATATATTGTTTTTCAAGACTACTACTATGATAGCTTTTTTGCCTACTTTTTTAGGGGTTATTAAATATATTACTACTAGTTCCATACAATAATTTTTTACATTCAAAGCCTGTTTGAAGGATATTTTTTTATGAAATCTCCCAAATTCCTCACTCCACCACCCCCTGAAAAAAAAAAGTCAAAGGTCAGTTCCAACTCTGTTTGGATTTCCCTGTGTAATGTGTGTATGACAATGATGATGGTGGTGTGAAGAGTACAGTGGAGTTTCATAAAAAACGAGTTAGTTTGATGCTGTGGAAGGGGAGTTAGGTTCTACAACTTACAGAATGCATTTGATGATGTATTGTGGAGGTATGGCAAGCTATTTGGTATACAACAGCCATTACATTGTATTATCTTGAACGCAGGATTTATTCTGTACATTAATAAAAATCATGTTACTCATATGCTTAAGCTTAGGGAAGGACCATTAGAAAAGTTATGGGGGGGGGGGGG